TGGGTGACGCATGCGGGCGCGGGCACTGGGGCCTTCGGTGGAGCTCCCTATGGAGCCACGAAACGTGTGAGGGGTGTGCCGAAATGGGTGTGGGTGACGCATGCGGGCGCGGGCACTGGGGCCTTCGGTGGAGCTCCCTATGGAGCCACGAAACGTGTGAGGGGTGTGCCGAAATGGGTGTGGGTGACGCATGCGGGCGCGGGCACTGGGGCCTTCGGTGGAGCTCCCTATGGAGCCACGAAACGTGTGAGGGGTGTGCCGAAATGGCGGGTGACGCATGCGGGCGCGGGCACTGGGGCCTTCGGCGGAGCTCCCTATGGAGCCACGAAACGTGTGAGGGGTGTGCCGAAATGGGTGTGGGTGACGCATGCGGGCGCGGGCACTGGGGCCTTCGGTGGAGCTCCCTATGGAGCCACGAAACGTGTGAGGGGTGTGCCGAAATGGGTGTGGGTGACGCATGCGGGCGCGGGCACTGGGGCCTTCGGTGGAGCTCCCTATGGAGCCACGAAACGTGTGAGGGGTGTGCCGAAATGGGTGTGGGTGACGCATGCGGGCGCGGGCACTGGGGCCTTCGGTGGAGCTCCCTATGGAGCCACGAAACGTGTGAGGGGTGTGCCGAATTGGGTGTGGGTGACGCATGCGGGCGCGGGCACTGGGGCCTTCGGTGAAGCTCCCTATGGGGCCACGAAGCGGTGTACTGGGTGGGTAAAGAGGAGAGGAGGAGAGGAGAGGAGGAGAGGAGAGGAGAGGAGAGGAGAGAAGAGGAGAGAAGAGGAGAGGAGAGGAATGATGACGATGATGATGATGATAATGATGATGATGACGATGATGATGATGACGATGAGGATGATAAGAGGGGAGAGGAGGCGGAGGAGGAGAGGAGGAATGAGACGGGGCACCGTCTCTTCAAAACGAGGACCCAACACCACAGGATGGTTGGGAATAACGTCGGCATCGACATCAGCTCGGAGAAAACATCAATCGCACCACAATGCGAGACGCAACGAACATGTCACGAACTTCGTTGCTGTGATGGTGTGATAGAGCTGACGCTGGAGTCGGTGCTGGGGTCGTAGCGGGAGTCGGCGCTGGAATCGATGCTGGCGCTGGTGCCGCTGGCATCGGTGCCTGGTTCGGTGCCAGCGACGATGCTGTTGGCCACCATGCCCGAGTCGGTTCTGGCGTGGTCAGGGTTGTGGTGCTGCATATGCTGGATGTGATCACGGTGGTGGTGTTGGTCACGGTTGTGGGTTTGCGCACGCTGGGTGTGCTCACGGTTGCGGCGCTGGTCAGGGTTGTGGTGCTGCGCTTGCTGCATGTGGTCACGGTGGAGGTGCCGGCCATTGTTCTAACACGTGTTGGCCTTAGTCACGGTGGTGGTGCTGGTCTGCGTTGTCGGCATGAGAATCGGTCAACGCTGGAGTTGGCGAGTTGGTCGGTGCGGGAATCGGTGAGCTGAGCGATGCTGGAGACGGTGACATGGTCGGCGGAGGAGCCGGCGAGCTGGTCGGCGAGGCAGTCGCCTCTGGATAGCGCCTTCGAAAGCTGGTCCGTGCGGCAGTCGGCGATATGGTCGGCGCGGGAGTCGGCGAGCGGGTCGGCGAGGGAGTCGGTGAGCGGGACGGCGTGGGAGTCGGCGAGCTGGTCCGTGTTAGAGCTGGCGAGCTGGCCTGCGCCGGCTTCGGCGTTCTGATCGGCACGGGAGTCGGCGAGCTGGACCGCGCCGGAGTAGGTGAGCTGGGCAATGCGGGAGTCGGCGACCTGGACGGCAAGGGAGTCGGCGAGCCCCTCGGTGCGGGAGACGGCGAGCTGGTCGGCAAGGGGGTCGGCGACCTTGTCGGCATGAGGGTCGGTGATCTGGTCGACGCTGGAGTCGGCGAGTTGGTCGGTGCGGGAGTCGGTGAGCTGAACGATGCTGGAGTCGGTGACCTGGTCGGCGAAGGAGCCGGCGAGCTGGTCGGCGAGGCAGTCGCCTCTGGATAGCGCCTTCGAAAGCTGGTCCGTGCGGCAGTCGGCGACATGGTCGGCGCGGGAGTCGGCGAGCGGGTCGGCGAGGGAGTCGGTGAGCGGGACGGCGTGGGAGTCGGCGAGCTGGTCGGTGCTGGAGCCGGCGAGCTGGCCTGCGCCGGCTTCGGCGTTCTGATCGGCACGGGAGTCGGCGAGCTGGACAACGCAGGAGGAGGTGAGCTGGGCAATGCGGGAGTCGGCGCTGGTGTGGTTGCGGCGCTGGTGCTGGCGAAACACAGCACTGGTGCTGGCAGGCAGGAAGGGGCATTGGTGCTGGCGTCGTTGCTGGCGTCGTCGCTGGCGCGGCTGGCCATTGATACCGACGCGCTGCTCATGGTAACTGGCGTGCTGCGCGGGGGAGGAGGCGAAGGAATGGCCGTAAAATTGTCAATTGTCGCTCTGAAACCCAAAGTCAATCTGCGAGTAACGATGTCGACGAAAAGTAGCGAAAACATAAGAACCGAAGATGAGGACCAGGACGCCGCCACCACGCTAGTCGGTTCGGTGCCGCACGATGCCGTTAATTCCAGCCGTGCGCCGCATCGTAGATGCGCTCCGCACGGGGGTGCCCCCTGACCATCTCCCTGCAGGCCTGGCGCAAGGCCTCGCCAGCGGCCGGGCCCGGTGCGATCTGCCCGTGGCGGCACAAGCAATGAGTGCGATAAGCAGCTGCCGCGCGAATGGCCACTCGGTCAGCCACGGCTGGGTCGTCGCCGTCGCGGAAATCCAAGCCCAGGAAAGCAACCAGACGGTTATCCGGCGTAGCGGCCCGCGGTAAATTGAGCAGCGTGCCCGTCACGGCGTGCAAACATGAGCAGCTGGAGTAATGCTCAATGGGGTCGGGGGCCGTATCTGAACATCGGAACATGCAGCCGCCGACGCCATGCCGACTTTGCGCGCGCTGGGAGGTGGCCCATCCATTCCAAAGGGTTCGCCACATCACCGCCCAAACTCTAGGAGGGGCGCGCCCGCGCAGAGCTGTCACCGTTGACACCATCGTTATCACGCTGACACCATCGTTATCACCATCGTTGACACCATCGTTACACCGTTGACACCATCGTTATTACCACCGTTTACACCATGTAGAGTATCATGTTCACCGTTGACACCATCGTTATCACCACTACCACCATCATAACCATCCTCATCCTCATCATTACCATGCTCATCAGCATCATCATCGTCATCGCATTCGCCATCAAAAGCATCAACAACATCACCATCAACAACAATATCGTGATCAAGATCATCATCCGAACCACTATCCGCAGCATAATGGTATTCATCATCATCAGCCTCAACAGCATCATCATGAACATCACCGTCAACATCAACAGCATCGCCATTCGCATTATCATCAGCATCCACACCAAGCAGCTGCGGTATTATCAGTAGCATCATTAGTAGCATCATCAGTAGCATCATCATCATCATCAGCATCATCATCATCATCATCATCATCATCATCAGCAACATCATCGTCAACATCATCATCACCACCACCATCATCATCATGATCAACATCTTGAGCATCATCATCGTCGTCGTGTTGATGGTCATTGTGCTAATCGCCTCGCCCGCCATCTCCTCGTCCTCCTCATCCTTCTCATCCTCCACGTCCTCGTACTCTCTACCCAGCCATGCGTAATACTCCCCACCGTTACGTACCATTCGCTTCCCCTGCCTCTCGTCGACTTCTGTGCATTCCTCTTCCCTGCCATCACCCTCCAGCACTCTTCCTCCTCATCCTACTCCACCCTCCCATAATATATTATCCTCTCCTCTCCCTTCCTCATACCCGTCTCGTGCATTCCTCCGACGCCCAAATTCCTACGTACCTCCTGAACCCTCCAATCCTCTGCCCTCCTCCTCCTCCTTCTCTACTCTACCCTCCCTTCCTCCGCCCTCCTCCAACTTTCCTATACCATCCCATCCTCTACCTTCTTCATACCGCCAGCCTGCCCTCTGCATGCCCTCTCCTCCTCTGCCCGTCCGTCCTGTTACACCTCGTCCTCGATGTTCCCCCATACTCCTCTGTCATCCCCTCCTCAGCCCTCCGCTGTTTCACCCGACCCTGCTCTACGACCCACTCGTCCCACGTTCCCACTGATACGTTTATTGATTTTCCTCTTCTACCTGCTCCTCCTACTCCTCCTCCACGTCCTCCTCCTCCGTCTGCTCCTCCTCCTCATCCTCCTCATCCTCCTCCTCCTCATCATCATCATGACCAGCATCGTCAGCATCATCATCGTCATCATCATCATCATCATCAGCAGCAGCAGCACCGTCATCACCATCAACACCATCACCATTCTCATCATCACCAGCATCATCGTCGTCATGATGATGATGATCATCATCATCGCCATCATTATCATCATCGTCATCATCATCAAAATAATTAGCATCAGCAACATCATCATCACCACCATCACAATCATCATCACCAGCATCATCAACATCATCATCATCATCATCATCATCATCGCCATCGTCAGCATCCTCATCAGCATCCACATCAGAATCATCATCATCATCACCACCATCATCATCATCATCATCATCATCATCATCATCATCATCATCATCACCATCATCCGTGTTGTCCTCCTCTTCCTCCTCCTCCTCCTCGTCTTCCTCCGCCTGATGTGCCTCTCCCGCCTCCCTCTCCGCGTCATCTGCCTCCTCCTCCTCCCACTCTTCCTCCTCATCATTTTCCTGTTTCTCCTCCTCCTCCTCTTCCTCCTCCTCCCCCTCCACTTCTCCTCCTCCTCCTCCTCCTCCTCCGCATCATCATCATCTTCATCATCATCATCATCATCATCATCATCATCATCATCATCACCATCATCATCACCATCACCATCGGCATCATCATCAGCATCATCAACATCCTCATCCTCATCTTCATCCTCCCCATCACCCGCATCCTCATATTCATCCTCAT